TGGGTCAAAAAAGGAGGAAATCCCATAGAGATTAGGAGATTAGAAATACTCGAGTCTGCCTCAGATCAAATACGATAGCATTCATCAAGCATCAACTAAATTTCATTTAGACTCTCTCACCAACCACTGTCCACTGCGGAAACAGCGTAGTAGGCATGACGAAAGGGGCCACTCTCGGCACATTGTAGACGCGGACTCATGGGCGTATCTAGTTTCGATCACCAACCTCAAAAATTAAGCCAACATGACCAAATCTATTGTAGCCCACAGTGAATTTATTTCACAAAATGATTCAAATGATGAGACACAGATGGGGTCCGATTTGGAGTGAACCATTTCATAATGGACTGCCCATTGTCATTCCGAAGAGAACGGAAAGATAACGGGTATTAGAGGCCGATAAAAATGAGCCGATTAAGATCCTTGGCCTTGACTAAGTTCAATAATTAGCGGAGATAATTTCAATATCTTGACAAAGTTCGACAATAAACATTTGTTGCTTAGTGTACAAAGAGTATTGAACAATTTCATTGCTAGATGCTTTATAAAATTGTTAGATGTGCAAGTAATTAATGAGTGTCATCTATTAGGGACACCAGCGTCAAAACTGATTTGTTAAATACAACTGGATTAATGTCCAGTTTTAGGTTAATGGGTCTGTTTGTCTGCCTGTCTGTCGGTGACACGTTTTGGGACACAATAACGTTCCTCCTAATTGAGGTGGAATGTCTTGGCAGAGGTCGATCATCCGCATTTTCCACTAAGGCTAAATAAAGATAAGCAATTTGATTGGTTGAGACTTTGGAACACGATAACTTTGGTTCTAATTGGGTGAGAGTAATGAAGTTTGGTGTATAGTTTCATTACACCAATACCTTGACTAAGTTCGGTGATGAGAATTATCTGCTTAGGCTAAGTAGCGATAAGCAATTTGATTGGTCAAGACTTTGGAACATACAACTGTGTTTTTTATTGAGGTATAGCTGTTCATTAACATACATTATGCAAGAGCTAAAGCCGCCTATTCCAAGTCTTTATTTAGGCTTCAGATGTATAGAAATTATCAATTAGACCTTTATTTACACGACAAGCTCAAAATCAACTCTGTAGACCCACGGGTGGCTGTGATAAGGTTTAGATTTAAACAGTCGTCCATTTAAAATTAAATCAATAAATGATTGGCCAAGCTAACGTTTACCGTTAGTCGCTGATGTCACTGCAGGAAACTGGTGATGAAAGGCCTGCCACACGAGGCTACCATAGTCATTTAGCATGTTACTTGATAATCGAGAATATGTGGGTGGAGTTATCGTCTGTCAATCAACCGATCGCCAATTCCCATAGACGGCGCAGACACAATTGGTGCCTATTTCTAGTCGAAACTTCCAACAGTGACAATATCATCTATTTTTGAAATATTATAGCAAGAATGGCCAACTCTTTATAAAAGTCTTAACTAATGTATCTTTAGACGATTGTCTTGACTGAGTTCAATGATTAACATTTCCCGCAAAAGCTAAGCAGGTACTGCAATGCTTCATGTTTGAAAATCAAAGGGGAGCCATGAAAAGCTCTTTTAAAATTACAACAGCTGGAAATCGCTCCTGCAAAAAAAAAACCAAAAAAAAAAACCACTTCTGAACTCAAAATAGAGGAGCAATCTATTATTTAGAAGAGCTGTTTTTTTTTATTATGTATTTCATACATGAAGCATAGATGCAGCCAATTATTGACCCTTAATATTATATAGATACTTAGAAAAAATAAAGATATGTGTTTCAATATTTATTATAATAAATAAAGAAAACAAATCAGACTTCAGTCTTAATCTTTCACCCCCATAATATACTAACTTAAAGGACAATATTGGTGTCAGTCATTATAAAGTATGTGATAGAGCTCGTTAAATACATCCCAAATATAATTTTAACACAGAGATCATTGCTACGGGAGTTGTATAACAAACACGTGAAGAAACGGGAAGTGACGTCAAACATGAGTTGTCCATCTATATAACTGACTGAAGTAGCGAGCGGTAACAGACAAACGATCGAATTTCATTTCACTGATAATTCCGTTGAAGATGAAAAGTTGTTACATGAGACGATGAGAGGATATATGACAATTCTAAAAAAGAATTGGCTGTCAGTAGATAAAAGATAACGAACAAATTAGAAAAAGTCCGTGCATTACCATGTTTTTATTAAGAACATTGCTACGGGAGTTGTATAACAAACACGTGAAGAAACGGGAAGTGACGTCAAACATGAGTTGTCCATCTATATAACTGACTGAAGTAGCGAGCGGTAACAGACAAACGATCGAATTTCATTTCACTGATAATTCCGTTGAAGATGAAAAGTTGTTACATGAGACGATGAGAGGATATATGACAATTCTAAAAAAGAATTGGCTGTCAGTAGATAAAAGATAACGAACAAATTAGAAAAAGTCCGTGCATTACCATGTTTTTATTAAGAACAGAATGAATAAAAACGGGGGAATGCACGGGATTTTTCTACTTTTTCTCATGTCCCTTATCTAGTGACAGCCAATGCTATTTTTGAATTGTGAGATACCCTCTCACCGTCCCATATAATAACTTTTCAACGGAATTATCAGTGAAATGAAATTTGATCGTTTGTCTCTTACCGCTCGTTACTTCAGTCTGTTATATAGAAGGACAACTCGTGTTTGTCATGTTTGGCGTCACTCCCCGTTTCTTCACGTACTTGTAACACGTCTCCCGTAGCAATGATCTCTGTGTTAAAATTATATTTGGAATGTATTTAACCAGTTCTATCACATATGTAATAATGACTGACACCACTATTGTCCTTTAATGATAACGGACAAAAGTCACAGGAAAGAAATATTTAACTTTAAGCCAATTTTCATAGAATATGCAATCATAAAATGTATTACATGTAAATAATATAATATTCTAAATTCTAGCTTATTAGGTACAGAAAAATATATACTTTAGAATTGAATATTCTGTGAAAATGGTTTTCAGCTGATTACACTATTCGCAAAAGATCAAAAGGCAACACTTTGAGCTGTAAAAAGCCACTTAGCTGTAAATAAAATAGTTTAACCATTGTCTTATGGTATGTATTAATAATTTCAGTCACACTCATACAATTATGCCAGATAAAAATTGAATTTGGTACACTACAGTGATTAAAAATATAAATCAACCATTGTCATGTGGTATCAATAATTTCAGTCACTCATACAACCATTCTACAAAAATAAATTTACCAACATCAAATGAAAACAAAATCATGGAAGGAATAAGTAACCCGCTACACCAAACAAATTATCACAGCACATTCATTATCTTAAACTGATGAAAATTTGAACCTTCTTCAGGATACTGAATTGGATGTGACAAATTACTTAGTGGAAAATGAGATCAAACTAGAGTGTTCTTTTTTATTCTTGTGTGTCAGTCGTCAAATTCCTGTCCAGATTTCACTAATATTTACATCATCATTATCAATGTCACTATCACTTAAATAATCTGTATCTGAATTATCTGTGATATCAGTTGAAGCCTGTGTTGTTGTACTACCATAAGGGCTCTTTTCTATGTCTTGTGACTGTGTAACATTTTGACGAATATCAAGTGATTGTTTCCGACGTTTGGACATATACAGAGTTAGAGCACTTTCTAAAATGTCAGTATGCTTAGCTACACTCCAAATTAAATTGTTGAATTTGATGATAAAGAGATCCTCCATGCTCTCATGTGATAAACTTAACCGCCTATCATTTAACATGCTGTTAAATGGCTGAAGCCAGACTCAACAACACTGTTACTAGGTCCCAAGCAAAGGAGTATCTCAGCTAACTTGAACACGTTTGGAAATTCGGCTTGCCTATAACAAAACAGCTTGTACCATAAGTCATGAGCAGGCACACCATTATAAAAATACTTTACTGTTCTCTTCAAAAAAGATGAATGCATCAAAGTTTGCTATTAGCAAACAACAGACATTACATCATATAAAATAAAACCAAGTACGAACAATCCAAACCTCAAAAAACGTTATAGGCAAAATAGTATATTCAAGCAAAATAGTGTAATCAGCAAATGGACTGCTCCTCGTGTACAAAATACACGACAAACAGGGACTTTTTCTCCCGTACTGTCAGAATAGTATTCTCATATCAGACACATAGTAAATTTGTTATACATTAATTACTACTAATAGAAATTGCCATAAATGAGTAAAAGTAATATTTCAAGACAGATACTATAATACAATTGCATATACATGTATTTTGTTTAATAATACTTACTAACCAAATGTAGAGGAATTATTTCTCAGGAATAAGCCAAAGCTTCCAGCTAAGTTTTCAACATCAATATTGGTGTATTCTAGCTGTAAATCTGTGAGGGATTCTTTCGCTTTTTCGAGAGCAGGCATCATCTCTGTGATCAAAATATTATTCTTCTCAAAGAGTTAATGAAAGTTCTGATATTGGCTGGATAGTATTTAAGTAAGTCACACATGTACACAAGAAGCTGAAGTCCTCGAGTTTCTCTAATAATCACCTCAGTTTTGCAGCTGCAGTTGAATTCTTGGTGCTTTTGATTTGATCTTCCAGTGTTAAACTAAGAATGATCCAACTCTTTAACAAATTTGTCAGCCCTCGCCACTGATGGGAAATAAAACGAGTACCACGAACCTATAATATAAGCCACGTTAAATGCGTTTATAGGTACAGATACAGTCAAACGTTCTGCACATCAGTTGGTAACGTTTTAATATTTTTGAAGTTTATCGGCCATCATCGGGATTGAACCCGGCAAATACTATGTGCCCACATATAGAAATGTAAGGCACGTGTATCTTATTACACCTAATAATTTATAAAATTTTGTTTTATCTATGGCTGACATTATTGGAAAGCCCATCGGTCTGAAATAGGAAGATTCAAAATTATATACTTTTATGACTACCATTTTTTTTAAATCAAATATTTTACAGCATACAAGTTACTGACGCGATTACTTCATAATCAATTAAACCTCGTATTTGGACTGTTATGGCTATAATTTGATATCATCACCTGAATTACCAAATTGTTCCATGTCTTCCTGGAAACTTTATACCAACAAGGTCATCAAACAAATGAAATATGGCTTCCTTGAAGGAAGGTAAGCTAAAATATAAACATACTAATGGTTTACAATAATTACAAAATCCAGGATATCATTCATTCTATCTGAAAATATTAAGGAGTATATTTATTTTGGTTTCTTTCATATTAATTTATAGACCCATCAAAGAGGACAACAGACGAATGGATAAAGAGGCCAGAAACCCAGTCTCCCGATCAAAATATATTGTTACCAGAAAAAGAAGCTTCTTCCAGCCACTTACCACACGGATTAGCACCCGGACAGGCCATGGTACACATGTCAACATTTAAAGGCGATGCTGCACATAGTAGTATTTGTAAGGATGCGTTACAAGAAGCTTGTAGACATGGGCAAGTTGCCGATGTTAGACATCTGATAGATCAGGGTACAGATGTCAACAGTAAAGACGTATTTGGTAGAACATGTATCTTACTTTGTAGTATATCTTTCATTGAACCCATTGAAAAAATAAACGTTTTAAGTTCAAACGGGGGCAATATCCAAGATATTGATCATGAAAACAATGGTATATTGCACTTGGCTTGTGATTTAGGTATGCTAGAAACAGTTCAGTATCTTGTAGATATAGGGTTAGATATCAACTCTAAAGGTTTCAGAAATAGATCTTGTATCATGGCGTGTAGTCAGTCTAAAACGCAAGCAACTGACAAAATCGAATTGTTACGGAAAATGGGGGCCAATATTCATGATACAGATGTACAAAATGATGGTATGTTACACTTGGCATGCCTTAGTGGTACGTTAGACACTGTAAAATATCTGATAGATTTAGGTTTAGATATAAACACAAAAGGTTTTAAAGATAGAACATGTATATTGTTATGTAGCCATTCTCAAATACAGGCCATTGAGAAAATAGAATTAATAAAGTCGAAGGGTGGTAATATATATGATACTGACGGTGGAGGCAATGGTATGTTACACTTGGCATGTGTTTTTGGCACATTAGAAACTGTAAGATATCTGGTAGCTCTAAAGTTGAATATAAATGCTGAAGGCCCTAAAAGTCAACCATGCATCTTAGATTGTAGTGAATCTGAAATACAAGCTGTCGAGAAAATAGAATTTTTAAGGCTAAAGGGAGGTAATATTAATAATACTGATGATCAAAATAATGGCATATTACATATAGCCTGTGCTTTAGGTACATTAGATACTGTAAAGTATCTGATAGATTTAGGGTTGGATATAAACACAAAAGGTTATAAAGGTAGAACGTGTATTTTACAATGTAGTGTGTCAAATATACAAGGCACTGAGAAAATAGAATTAATAAAGTCGAAGGGGGGTAATATATATGATACTGACGATAATAAAAATGGCTTATTACACTTAGCCTATGCTTTTGGTACATTAGATACTGTAAGATATCTGGTAGATTTAGGGTTAGATATCGACACAAAAGGTTGTAAAGGCAGAACGTGGATCTTACAGTGTAGTCTATCTAAAACACAAGCCATTGAGAAAATAGAATTTTCAAGGTCAAAGGGAGGTAATATCCATGATACTGATAATCAAAATGATGGTCTACTACATCTAGCCTCTGCTTTTGGTACATTAGATACTGTAAAATATCTGGTTGATCTAGGGTTATATATAACCACCAGAGGTTTTATAGGTAGAACGTGTATCTTACAGTGTGGTCTATCTAAAACACAAGCCGTAGAGAAAATAGAATTTTTAAGGTTAAAGTGTGGTGGTAATATATATGACAGGGATGATCAAAATGATGGAATATTACATCTAGCCTGTTATTTTAGTACATTAGACACTGTAAAATATCTGGTAGATCTAGGGTTAGATATAAACACAAAAGGTTATAAAGGTAGAACATGTATCTTACAGTGTAGCCTATCTAAAATACAAGCCAAGGAGAAAATAGAATTTTTAATGTCAAAGGGGGGTAATATTTGTGATAGGGATGACAATAATAGTGGTATGTTACATATTGCTTGTGAAAATGGCACGTTAGAAACCGTTCAATATCTAGTAAATCTAGGATATGATATAAACATTAAAGATGACTCAGGAAATACGCCGGTTTCATTAGCGGTTTGGTCTGATACACAATCTCTTCAAAAAGTTGATTATTTAATCTCCAAAGGTGCCAAACTGTCGTGGTTCACGTGGTCAATGCATAGTATTAGAACAGCACTTCCATCTTAATAACTTAGGCCCGTATTTTCGAAAGTGCATTAGTGCTAATCATAGATTTAATCTCTGATTTTCTGACCAGCCATATTCTGAAAAGCTGATTACATGTTAAGCTAAGTTTATTAAAAACTGAGTTAATCATTGGTCGAGAATATCATAAAATGTGCTATTCTGGAACGTTGAATTGTACTTAATCATTGACTAAATCGCTCCAATATTTAGTCATCTAGGTGGAGGTAAGGGGGGGGGGGGGTAGTTTAAGGAAGGATTAAGTGCATGGATATGCAATTACAATGTATTGAATGTTATAGAAATGATTATTTTTCATTGAATTCAGACACATTGCACATATATTTTGCTACGAAAGCAACAGGTTTACATTCACCGTAAATTCTGTTAAAAAAGATTTTTGAAATATTAAACATTCTCTATAATATCAAGCATAAATATTTATGTATACTTTAGTCAAAATTAATAAACGACAAGAAAAAAAAAATAATTTTTAGAAATGGCAAAGAACCTTTTAACAAAAGGAATTGCAAAGAAAGGAGCACATCAACCTCTTAGCACAAAAGGGAACCAACAGCAGTCATTTGAGCAGTCAACAAGGGTTGTGCTATTTTCTTTTCTTTGGTCCGTAATAAAAACATTTACGACTCTAAAATCTGAGTACGAGTTACAACCAATTAAGTAATTATCAGAAATCAATAGAATTTGTTTGGCTTTTACTATACAAACATTTAGTATCAAGGGCCATAACTCTGGAAGTAATTATCGGAACGCATTGGCAATCAATAGGCCTCCTCCTCTCCTGAAGTTAAACATCGTGTATAAATTTCAAATCAATCGAATATTAACTTAAAGCATCCACAAAATTTTTCAAAGTGATCAAGGGCCATAACCCTGGTAGTAATTATCGAAAATCGTTGAAAATCTAAAGGCTTCCTCATCGCATGACCCTAGACACTGTATATAAATCTAAAGTCAATCAGATATCAATATTAGCCTCTAGAGCGTTCACATTATTTTTCAAAGTGATCAAGGGCAATAACACTGACAGTAATTATCGGATATTGATGGAACTCAAAAGGCTTCGTCATCTCATGACCTTAAATATTCTGTATAAATCTGAAGTCCATCGGATACCAACTTTTTCCAAAGTGATCAAGGGCCATAACTCTGGCAGTAATTATCGGAAATCGTTGGAAATCATTAGACTTCCGCATCTTGTGACCTTAAATATTATGTATAAATCTAAAGTCAATCGAATACCAACTTTACCCTCTAGAGCATCCACAATAATTTTCAAAGTGATAAAGGGCCATAACGCTAGCAGTAATTATCGGAAATCGTTGAACTTCAATAGGATTCCTCAGCTTTTGATCCTAAACAATGTGTATAAATCTAAAATCAATCGGATTTGAACTTTAGCCTCTAGAGCGTCCACACGATTTTTCAAAGTGATCAAGGGCAATAACTCTGATAGTAAGTATCGGAAATCAATAGGTCTCTTCGTCTCGTGGCCTTAATCACTGTGTATAAATTTAAAGTCAATTGGATACAACTTTTAGCCTATGGAGTGTCCACAAGATTTTTCAAAGTGATCTAGGTTCATAACTCTGGAGGTAATTATCGGAAATCGTTGAAAATCAATAGGCTTTTGTATCTCATGACCTTAAACACGTGTATAAATTTCAAGCCTAGTACTGAATACATGACAAAACCTATAGAAATATTGAAGCATTGTATGCAAAGTAGAAAAGTCAGCAGTTTCTTTTGATTTAGCATAATCTTTATGTTTATTTTTTTCCAATGTGCCCACAATGGCTTTCTTTTTGTCAATAAAAATTAGCTGTTCAAGCAATCTTTTCGATGTGAGAGATTTAAGAAATGAAAGACAGTCGAGTTCTTTTAAGCTTGATAAATCAACGTTTCACATTTTTATACAATAATTAACGTTTCTAAATGACATTTTATATGTATGGCACTCAGTTCAACAGTTGTATAAAAAAAATGCATATTTTTTTTGTGTCTCAATAGGTTAAGCAACTCGTAAAAATTTGTTATAAATAATAATTACTTTGTAATCTTTCAAAATTTCCCATATCCAAAGAAAACCAGAATCCCACTACAATTATACGCTCACATTTTCATATGGACGTATATTGTCGTCGCCCCTGTCCGTCCGTCCACAATTTGTTTGTGGACACGCAACAGGTCACAATGTTTATCTGATGTTGACAAAACTTGAAATATAGGTCTATCTCCCAAAAGATATTGGTTCCTGTCGATATTGGCATATATCGAACCATAACTTCATGGATTATGGCCCCTGATTGTACGAAAAATCACGTTTTAGCTTGTCACAATTTTGATCCGATTTTGATTAACCTTGAAATGCATGTTTATAACCCAAATATCTTGTTGCCTTCGATATTCGCGCATATCGGATCGTACGAAAAATCGCGTTTTTAGCTTGTGGTTCCTCTAGAGGTCGCAATTTTTATCCGATTTAAATAGTGTAAATAGTGTAAAATATGGCATATCAAGGTCACAATTTTCATCTGATTTTGATGAATCTTGGAATGCATGTTTATATCACAAAGATCTTGGTTGCTGTCGATATTCGCTCATATCGGATCGCAAATTCCGGAATTATGGTACCTGATTGTACGAAAAATCGCGCTTTTAAATTGTGGTCCCTCTAGAGGTCACAATTTTTATCCGATTTAAACAAACGTTTTGCTTATAGCCTAAGGACGACAGAGGCACGCCCATCTTTAGTATATAGCGCCTAAACGCCACAATCCTAAATATATTATCTTGGAACTTACCTGTTCCTTACGCCCTAAGGACGGCAACTATTGATTTTGGTGCATGATGCTCCCCGCTTGGACAGTGTCACACCCAATTTTATTTTAATACTTTGTCTGTATAATCTACAGGTTGCAATCAGTAACATATGGATACAAATCAGCATGACCCATTTCCAGGGTTGTACCTATTTATATTCTTCCATATCCAACCCTGAGGGGCCGAGCGACGCCGATTTTTATTCGCCCACATTTTCATGTGGACATATATTGTCGTCGCTCCTGTCCGTCTGTTCGTCCACAATTTCTTTGTGGACACTCTACAGGTCACAATATTTATTCGATTTTGACGAAACTTAAAATATAGGTCTATCTCCCAAAGATCTCAGTACTGTCGATATTGGAATATATCGGACCATAACTTCATGGATTATGGCCCCTGATTGTACGAAAAATCACACGTCAAAATCGAATAAATATTGTGACCTGTAGATTGCCCACAAAGAAATTGTGGACGGACAGGATCGACGACAATATATGTGCACATGAAAATGTGGGCGAATAAAAATCGGCGTTGCTCGGCCCCTGAGGGTTGGATATGGAACAATATTCCTCTCAATATTTGCGCATATCAGATGGTAACTTCCTGAATTATAGCCCATGATTGTACGAAAAATCATGTTTTTAGCTTTTAGCTTGTGGTCCCTCTAGAGGTCACAATTATCCGATTTAAAAATAAACATTTGAATTTATAATCGTTACACAGTAGTAAAATTGGACCAAAACTGACGGACAAAATGGCCGTCCCTCGTACGCATGTAATGTAAATATATGGTACATCAAGGTTGTGGACCCTCTAGAGGTCATAATTTTAATCAGATTTTGATGAAACTTGAAATGCATGTTTATAACCCAAAGATCTTGGTTCCTTTCAAAATTCGCGCATATCGGATTGTAAATTTCTGGATTATGGCCCTTGATTTTACGAAAAATCACGTTTTTAGCTTGTGGTCACTCATCTAGAGGTAACAATTTTTATCCGATTTAAAAAAAAATCGTTTGTATATATTACCGTTACACCCTAATGATGGCTGAGTTCGAATTTCGTGAAATTCGGCCCAACAAAATGGCCGCCCCTCGTACTCGTACGCAAATAGTGTAAATATATGGTATATCAAGGTTGTGGACCCTCTAGAAGTCACAATTTTTGATGCGATTTTCATGAAACTTGAAATATACATGTATATTTGAAACCCAAAGATCTTGGTTCCTGTCGATATTCGCACATATGAGATTGTAACTTCCTGAATTATGGCCCTTGATTGTACAAAAAAAATCGCCTGGCAGCCGCTGGTTTGATTACTAAAACGGAGTCACAGTGGTGCAGGGCGGGGGGCCTTGCAAGGGACAACGTAGAGTCGTTTGGATAGGATGACAAACCGAAATACCCTATACACATTGGGGTGCACCTAAAATAACCCTTGGTATTTAGAATTGGTATAACTGTGAGCCGTAGTGCCGCTCTCCGGGCAAAACTGCCCTTATAGAACACTGTATGGCGTATGTCCGTCTCCCTTAGCCCAGTTGGAGCAGAACAGTAGGACGTTAAACCCCCATTTCATTTCGAATATCAAAAATATCCGAACTCTATTTTTTCTTGACTTTCTTTTTCATACATTTTATTTCTTTTCTGCCATGGCTCCAGGTAAGCGAGCCAACGTCTTACTCACTGCGTCACAACGGGGTATGGCCTCAATACAAGATGTTGGACTGAGTTCAATAAAGTTGAGTTAAGCTAATATTGGAATAAATTGTCTAATAATACTATCTTAGAAATTGTCTAATAATACTATCTTAGAAACTGTGTTGATTTTAAATCATTGCCATACCATACCTTAAAGATTAAGGAAAAGGAAACTTTAGTCGGGACTGGGGTAATTTGATTCCAGCAGTTCGTTTTATTCCAGAATAAAGACATTTTGTCAGACCAGCTTGGTGTTATTTTAAACCCCATTCCAAAGTACAATAGAGAGAGAAAAATGGAGTTTAACGTACACTAGACACCAACCAGGTCATTTCGCGCGTAGTTGTCTTTAGCAGTGTGGGGAGGGGGGCGGAGGACATGGTGTAAACCCATCAGGTTGGACAGGCGACTCTACGCCTTGTCTCATACAAACGGGGAATCGAAACCACAACACTTGACTTAATGACAGACCTTATGCCCCCCGTCCCGCCCCTATCCTGAGTAAATAAGGTCCTCATGATTTTGTATGCCTCACAAACCGGGGAGTATTTATTATACATCACTGTGTTTAATTGGATTATGATAATTTTATTTGTTAACTCCGGCGTTCCCGTTAATAATTAAGAATACTGAAATGAAATGAAATGAAGTGGAGTTTAACGTCCTACTGTTCTGCTCCTAACCTGGGCTAATGAAGACGGGCATACGCCATACAGTGTGCTATGAGGAAAATTTTGCCCGGACAGCGGCACTACGGCCTACTCTTATATCGAATTCAACTGCCAAGGGATCTTTTACGTGCACGCCAATGTGTACACGGGACCTTAGTTTTTCGTCCCATCCGAACGACTAGACAGCTTTCCTTGTCAGGCCCTCCATCCTGCATCACTGACAAGGGGAAACCACGCCGGAAAATCTGGATGAACTTTCTCGGCCAGTGCAGGGATCGAACACCCGACCTCCAGGCTAGCGAGCTAGCGTCTTACCCACTTAGCCACGTGATCCCCAATTAAGAATACAGTCTGGATTTCATATTACATATGTACGAATCTGGATCAATAACCACGAGAGGTCGGGTTCCATCCCGGTTTTAAAAGTGAGACTTCCTTCTTAGCAAGCCAACGTCTTATTCACTGAGCCGCCCGATGGCAACGCGTATTATTATGTAATGTTACTAACCCTAACCCTATATTATACCGGAAGTGTAATCGGGTTTGGTGTGGTGTGAATACAAGCTCCAATTCTGCTCCGATGCCAAAAGCATAATGAAACAAACTCTGTAACAATTGTCTAGTCAACCGATCAGGTAATAAAACGTATAACAAAATAACAAGCAACGATAATGTGCCACAAGGGCCAGTGTTGGGCCCACTTGATATACTATCCACACCCTCCTCTTCATTTGGCCCTAACGTATCCAAACTTTCAGGCATGTTTTGTAACATCTACTGGGCTGCATGATAAATCCAACGCATATTTCAATGGACACTGGCCACCAGTACGAAATGCCATATATCTGATGTACAGAGTATCGTCATGTGTCCATTGTATCAATGGTCCATTGTTGTCTATTGTACCTGGTCTAATATATACAGTAGCACGTGTCCATTTTATCCAAAAGGGTGTATATTCGTTAGGAATTAACATTAGTTTTTTATCATATGTATAAACTTCCTTATAGCTGGGAGAATGAATCCTGATTGCGGTAATAGTGTTGTCCCATCCACAGTAGTGGCTCGTCCTTACGGAGTTCCTTTGCGCAAGTTTTTTAGTGAAATCACTACAAAAAGTTTACTGGCCTATAGCTCCTTTAATTTACAAATAAACTGACCCAGAACTGTGCTGCACATATAATATATAATAAATAACATATAATAAACCAATTCCCATTCAAATAAAGGTGAAGTCTTACCGCATAATTATATGATTTGATGAAACCCAACTGTTCTTCGCAATTTCTTGCCTATCGAAGTTAAAATATCCGCTCTGTCAGTAACAGTATGCGCAGTCCATCTCACGTGATCACCCGTCACTTTCCATATATGGCCTTCATGACCATAATTATATGCTAATGACTTTAGCGTGGGACAAAATGTCTGAAACAATCATAAACCGCGTGTTGCGGAGGATGAACATTAATTTTACGCTCAAACGAGAACAGCAGATGATTATGACTACATTGTTCAAAAATGGGATGTAATGGGCATCTTGCCAACTGGATTTGGGAAATCCTTAACATTTATTATGATCCCATTAGTTCTAGATGAGGTAAGAATATTTCGTCAAAAGTTAACAAAAATAAATGAATGAATGAATGAATAAAATGGGATTTAATGAATTCATTTTTGATAATTAATATTCTAACTAAATATGTTAACAAACTTTTAATGTTTATGTGTATTGATTTTTTTTCTCTTTATATGATAGATTAATGTATTTTATTATATATATTTTGTGTTTTAGGTGTATCCTGACAAACAGTTAACAAAAATAAATGAATGAATGAATAAAATGTGATTTAATGAATTCATTTTTGATAATTAATATTCTAACTAAATATGTTAACAAACTTTTAATGTTTATGTGTATTGATTTTTTTCTCTTTATATGATAGATTAATGTATTAATATATATTTTGTGTTTTAGATGTATCCGGACAAACAGCACACTGCTTTGGTGATATCCCCACTAAAGGCCTTAATGAAGGATCAAGTCAGTATTCTCAACGGGCAGGCAATTAGATCCCTGGCAATAATGGAGGAAACCAATGTAAAAGGTGTGTCTACAAAACAGATCACAAAATTTATATCTTCAGTTTTCCACAGAGTGAACATATATTTATCTAATTTATTTGCTGTACAAAGAACCCCTGTCATTAATTTAGCTACATTTTTGTGCTTTGTTTGATGTTTAAAATATGCTCTTTAAACTTGCACGAATAACAATTAATGATACAATAATATATGTGTTTATTTTTCTTAATTTGTAGATTTAGAAGGCGGTAATTTTCAAGTAATTTTTTCCTCACCTGAGTCCATTGTTTTACCTAAATGGAGGAAAGCACTGAAAGAAAATTGTGGAAAAAACATATGTGTATTGGTGTATGATGAGGCACCTTGCATTTTCTCTTGGTATGAATCAATATTTTTTAATTCTATTTCCTAAAATGAGGGTTGGGTGACTGAATAGTTACGGTGTGTGCATTGGATCATAAGGTCTATCATTGAGTCAAGTGGCGTGGTTTTGATTCTCCACTTGTACCTGACAAGGAGTGGGGTCACTTGTTCAATCTCATGGGGTATTTCTTTCAGTGTCCTCCAACTGCTAAAGATCTGTACATGCAAGCGAATTATGGAAATAAAACTGCTATAAAATATTTTGAATGTTTTTTATACCATTATTTTTTATTAAAATTTGTATGGTTTGATTGCTTTTCAGGGGATTAGATTTCCGACCAACATATAGACAAATTACAATTCTACAAAGCTTATATGATGTGCCAAACCTGGTTCTGACAGCAACAGCAACAAGACAAATTCAAGAGTATGTATTTGATGTTTTAAGTTTTAAAAAAGAGAAAACAAAAGTTGTAGCAGCTTTGCCTGATATGTAATGAAAGACTAGTCTTATATGTTACAGCTCAAGTTTAAATGACAACTTAACTTGATGTTATGCACTAATTAGGGAAATGCCATGCCAACCTCCATGGGGAGTTGAACCCAGGACCTTTTGCTTAATAGCCAATCAACCAGACCACTGACTGGGCCACCCCAGCTCTCATATCCGCAGCACTCCTCAATAATATGGGTGGGGGTAAGTGGCCTTACGCATGCCCTTTAGATCATAAGGTCAATCATAGAGTCAAGTGGCATTGTTTCCATTCATAATGTGTACGTGACAAGGAGTAGGGTCACCTGCCCAAACTCATGGGTTTTCTCACAGTCCTCTTTTTTCTTCCACTGCTAAAGACCCCTACACACCAGTGAATATTGAAATAAAATTGAACCATTTTATTGAACCTCCCATGCTGTATTATTTTGTACTACTTTCCCTTTGCAGGCCTAGCATATTCTTAGATATTCAGGCATCAAGTGACAAATATGAAAAAGAGCTAGAATGGTTATTAAGAGTCATTGAAAATGAGAACAAAAAGGTCATCCTTTATGTGCGGTCAATAAACCATTGCTACCAAATATATCTTTGGCTGATGACATCATTTATTGATAAAGATATAGATCTAACTGATAAATTAGATTTGTTTCATGCCAATACTGATAAAGATTCCAAAGATGAATAATGAAACAATTTGTTGACAAAAATGGAAATATCAAGGTTTTGGTAACCACTATAGCCTTTGGTATGGGAGTAAATATTTCCAATATTGATGTTGTTGTTCATTGGGGATTACCATCATCAGTTTTGGCATACTGGCAGGATGTAGGTCGTTGTGCTCGGGATGGGAGGGATATGCTATTTGTTATGTATTTAAGAGAAGTGTTAACAAATGTAGTGATGATGAATTTAAAAAAACTCCTTATCAAAAGGTATGTGTTCGAAAATCAATTTTAGAAAAATTTTTAATCAAAGGTATGAATGAACATGATATTGATACATTAGGTAACGAAGAAACATATAATCATAGTACATGCAAAGGTAATTGTAAATGCAAAAAATGTCAATGTTGTATTGTTTGCCTAACTTCTTGTATCTGTCCATCAAAAGTAAGTAATGTCTTTTCACATTTTGTATTTGGTTAATAAAAGTCATTTACTATGCTTCTTGCATTTTATTTATCACTTTATTTCTCACAGACATTTCTGATTTAAGTCTTGTTAGGCGGCTTTTCAAATTCTTTGTTACAATGTTTTTATGAATGTTCAGATCCATATCTGGAAATGTGGAGTGACATCGACCTGGTTGGGATTTGAATATATTCTCATCGAACATCAATGAAACAAATTTATTTATATCCTTGCTCTTGTCTGCTTTATCATGTGCATGGACAGTTGTTCTCGATAAGTTGGAAACCTGATGCTCATAAATATTGCGTAAAATTTTCCCTACACCCACCATTTCACTGTGCCGTTCAACTGTTGCTGTAGTCAGTTGTCCACCTGCTTCTTTTACACTTTCTGGAATATAGTAATAATTCGCAGAGTACAATTTTTTTAAATAATAATCAACAGGCCTAATTTAAAAAAAAATTGCTGATTCCAACAATTCTGCAAAAAGTTACATAGAAATGTTTTAGAACCACAAACTATTCAATAGTGAGATCAAGTGTGGTCACATGCCATCTTAATAAATCAATAGCTTCATGGATTGGAGTTTGACACCAGTTATATATAGTTCACAAAGATTAAGACTAAAGAATTGGAGAGATAGTTTTGTGGGCCTTAATATGAAAATAAAATAATTGCTCTAAGTCTCTTGCTCGCCTCACTTTACCTAACATCAAAAAGATTTTAAAAGCACCCTTTGACACTGACAGTATTACTTTTACGATGTTCTCATACTTTAGTTATGATATGACATCTAAAATTTAGGAGTGTTGTCGAATGGTCTAATGCTCACGCTTTAGATCATACGGTCTGTGCATTGAGTCAAGGTGTGGTTTCAATGCCACACGTGTACATGACAAGAAGTAGAGGGGTCTGTCCAATCTCGCAGGTTTTCAGCATGTACTCCGGTGTCCTCCCAGTGCTAAAGATTCCTATGAGCAAGTAAATTTTTGAAATAAAATTGAACCATATATTAGTCCCGAAATGACCTAGTTTTTGTCAAGTGGATGTTAAAATCTCTTAAACTTTTTTTTATGAGGCTCATAAAAATAAGATAAACCATATCATCCTAGTATATGCTTCTAAAATCTGTACCTTTATACTCTTTATTAAAGTATTCCATTTGCAGGTCCATGCTTATATTTCTTCCAAGTCCACCATTTGGGTTTATGGTTCTGTCCAATATTAGAGTATGTTTTAATCTTGGTGAAACAGCCCCATTTACTGCAGAAAGTAGGCGGTGACCAACCAAAAAGTATTTAGGATGATGACTTTGGAAAAAATTAAGCATATCAAACTTCCAATGATTGATAATTCTTGGTCCGTCATTTTCTCGTAGAGCATCTTTCCTAACCATTTGCTGAAGTCCACTCCTCATTAAAACTATTGCATAATTTTGTTTCTTGTCGGACAGGGTTTCTGATACTGATGTTCTTTTTTTGTGTGTCTGGTTACTTTGTCATATTTACATTCATCACTGCAAAAACCATTTTCCATCAGGTATATCTGCCTCCTCCATATCAATACAATCCAAGTGGTACCATATATTTTTGCAGTTTTTCCCACTACAAAAAATTTTGAGCCAGCTCTGTGTCGCCTGCAAAAACAGTATTCTTCCTCATTATTAGCACTTTCTGCATCTTCTTCCATCATTTTTCTCACAGTTGGCTGACTAGACAAAAAAAATCAGATCCAGTATCTTGCTGCATATTGTGTTCATATACTTTTGTTGATCTGTCTTATCTGCAGGAAAATCTTTTGGTACCTCTTTGGTTTCATTTAAGTTCATGAAAGACATCGCAGCTAAAACAACATAACCTTCTGTGCAGAATTCCAGAAATTCTTCATTAAAGTTGAAGCTCTCCTTTATGTTGGTGGTGACACTTCTGTGATTGAAATAGTTGTTGAGGTGGTGTAGTGTGCCCTTCTCCCTGCCACTACTGGTTTTATATAACCTGTCATAGATATCCCGAGAAAGAAATAAAATAAAACAATAATGTTAATTTCCATCATTTTGTGAAATACAAAACATATATTGACCACCAACATAAATTTAGTCTGTCTCGTATTGTTTGTGGGAGTGACCTGGTACGTGACAAGAAGTAGGGTGACAAGAAGTAGGGCCGCAAAGACAATTCGTTGTTTTTTTTTCAGGTCCTCCAATGTCCTCACCCAGCTAAAGACCCCTACACCTATTTATTTGAATTATTGAACTAAAATTGAACCATTATAGTCACGAAATGACCTAGTTTGTGTTAAGAGCCCCCCCCCCTCTCTCTCATCGTTTGTCATAAAATGAAGATTGTGCAACAACCACAATTCATTTTGGTTAAAATCTAAGGTAATATTTAGGATTCATACTTTAGTACTGATATTGTAAATTATTATACCTGAAGTAATAAACACCGTTTATGCCATTCTTGAATGTTTAGCACAAATCCCTGTAGTTGTGCCCATGGTGAGGCTGCATTTATCTGTGCACTCTGAGCGTCATTTCCTCTCTCACAACTAAGACCATCAGCATGTAAAGGGAGAGTTAATGGCTTGCTGTTTGGTTTAATTGGAACACATTGGTGATAATTCTCCATAATATCAATTGTATCAGACACTTTGGATTCATCTTTATCAAGAACACCCAGAGGAACCTAAAATATAGATTGTTTACAGTCATTACCATGATATTTTTAAGGCACCAACCATGATGTAATTATTGAATGGCTTTATGCCTTTACTCTTCACAAAATATACATGTATATAGATTTTCTGTAAAATACATTCTGTTTTTTGCACATTTACCAAGCAATAATTTTTTGCCTTTCTGTCACCATAATTCATTAATGATAAGACATTCCAGATTATGTTTTCCAATTAGGATCATTTGTAACTTTATCAAGCTTTACTAGATACTTGGTTTGTGACAGGAGCTGAAATAAATCCATTGACTCACTTACCAGCATGCTCTTTTTGCTAGATTCTTTGGAGTAACGATGTTTGATATGCCATACAATATCTTCATTTATGCCACCAAATGCTGGTATATACCTACATAGGATTCTAGTTACCATTGTTGTCATTTCAGAACGTAAGTCAATCTCGTCCATTTCAGAAGGCAAATAGGACTCTAATGGAATTTTCAAAATGTCGCACGGGGTTGGAACCGCATCTGACAAATGCAAAGTAGAAATTCTGTCCAGAGCGGCATAACTCTGCACCATGTTAAACATTGTTTTTGTTATCTCGTGTCTGATGTCTAACGGTCACCTTCTGATTGACATTATCAAAACAAATGGAAAAGCATGGTGGACCTGGAAGTAAAATAGATACATATTGTAATATCTTATTAATAATAATAAACAGCAAAAAATCAAAGATGGAATATTATGTAATTTGCTTACTAAAAATCAGGTTTCACTGAATTTGTACTGTAATTATAGTGATAAAACTGATTTCAGTTTTTATACGTTATAAGGGAAACGGGGGCCCGCTGAAATAGTTGGTACACCTATTGCTATCGCAAATTTTTTAGCATTAGCTCGAAATTTTTTTTTTATCTGTGATAACTTACTTTTATTTTCAATTGTGCTTGTTGATGATGTTTCATCTATTGATGTTGGAGTTTGTACTCTAATTGTTGTAGAAACTCTAACTGCAGAAGATTCATCACTTTCCATATTATCACTGTGCATATATGGGATTGTTGAATCAGATTCAGGTGGTAACAGGAGGTAATCTGAAACTGATTTTTTCCATTCATAAACATCAGCATTATAATTCTTTCTGATTCTATCAATAGCAGATATTGTTGAAGATATTCCTGTACACAGTCCTAAATGACTAAAACGTGCAAACACCTTAAATTAAGGTTTAGATATACATACGGGTATGAATATTTTGGAAAAATAATTATTCACAAAGTGGAAAAATACTGTAAAAATGCTTCATGTTATGATTCAGGGAGCAATTATTATTCATTCATTGGTTAGAACATCATAAAACATGGAATAGCTTTTCAATATACAATTATCATTTTGATTGAAATATACCCATTTATTTTATGATCAGTAGTGGAATACCGCGTTTTATCAGTGAAATAAATCTGTTATTCCACTGCCTAGTTGTTTTTACCTAAAATGATTGTAAAATCATAAAATAAATAGAACATTTGTCGTTTTGTCGTGAATAACATATTTTATTTCATCTCTAAGCAAGAAAACGTTTATATTTTCACTCATGCTACGCATTCGTGAAAATATAAGTTTTCTTGCTTCTCGATGAAATAAAATATGTTATTCACTCTAAAACGACAAATATCCTCTATGCATTGCAAATATTTTGAAATCAAAAAAGAGAGAAAATGTTTAGAAGTGGTAATGTTAAGGAGTAAAATAAGTACCAATGACAGTTTTATTAGACTGACTTGTAGGGATAATATGTATAGTTACCTCTCTTTTACTGGGGGGTTGGATGGCTGAATGGTTAGCGTGCGCGCGCGCTGTATCATAAAGTCTGTCATTGAGTCGACTGGCGTGGTTTCGAATCCCCGGTTGTACGTGACAAGGAGTAGGGTCGCCTGTCCAACCTCGTGGGTTTTCTCCGGGTCCTCCGGTTTCCTCCCACTGCTAAAGACCCCTACGCGCAAGCGAATTATGTAAATAAAATTAAACCATATGTTAGTCCCGAAATGACCTAGTTTGTGTCGAGTGGACGTTAAACCCCATTTCTCTCTCCCTCTCCTTTACTACCTGCTAGCCATAACTTTAGTGAATTTAACTGTTGGAAATTATTCAATAATCTTGGCTTCCTACTGTAGAGTATCACTGATGTTAAACATCCCAAAACTGGCTTTATTGAATTACATTGTCTTGTTGCAAAACTCAGCGTCTTGACTCACCACTTGGAGGTTAAAGCACTAACAAGTAAACCAGTCAGTGTGGGACAGTTACCTTTCATTTCTTGATAATTGTCGTTCCAATTAAATGCCTCAATACCCTCTAAAGTCTTGCCACCAATAAAACATGATGTATCCTCTTTGCATAATTTTATCATTTCATCTCTTATAAAATTTCCAACAATTGATAATACTGCCTTTTTAAACCCAATTCGGCTTCTACAAAGGATAGTTGCAGCCCTTTTATAATGACGTTGGTAGAGAGCACGAACTGCGTTATTGACTTCATTTTCTTGGATTGACACCTGAAAAAGAACACATCAGCATTTAAGAGAAATGAGGTCTAACGTCCACTTGACACAAACTAGGTCATTTTGGGACTAACATATGGTTCAATTTTATTTCAATAATTTGCTTGCGTGTAGGGGTCTTTAGCAGTGGGAAGAAACCGGAAGACCTGGAGAAAACCCACGAGGTTGGACAGGTGATCCTACTGCTTGTCAAGCACAACAGGGGAAACGAAAGCACCCCATTTCACTCATTGACAGACCTTATGATACAACACACACACGCTAACCATTCGGCCATCCAACCCTACTAAACATTTCATATCACAAGACATTTTTAAATCAAATGTTTTTTCTAGTTTGATTTCAATAAGTTAATGAATATGGTTCAACTGTTTACACAATATTCCGGAATGCCGGTAACTGCACTGCACAATGAACTTATAGATCTTACAAATTTTGCACATAATCATAATTTGAATCATAATGATCTCAGAAAATCTGTTAATATTTTAAAAGTGAGAAAATCTTACATATTTCTTTTTTGGGGGTCTTTGGCTAGTACTGGCTTTGTGTATGTCTTCATCAGTCTGAAAATCAAATAATATTGTAATAATAAAGGAGACATAATAATATTTTATTTCCAAAAGATAGATTCTGACTGGCATCTATATCCCATATTAAGTATTTGTTGGCAAAAAGCATATTTGTTAAAAGAAAACTTATTTAAAGCTTGCTAAAATCTAGATAAGCAAACTGAGAGATTGTTTTGGTATCTCCCATTAGGCTACAAGAGCTGAAAGTAGTGAAAGTTGCATATAGTTAATTACATTATAATTCTAACCTGTGAACTGGAAACGCTGTTGAGTCTTCTCCTTTTACAACCTCTTGGCGAAAATCTGGGACTCTTTATTTTTTGGATAAGTAACCAGATGTTTTGGAGGTCTCTTGAATTTTTCTTTTGGCACCCTCTTGTGTAATCTTTGATCTTGCCATTCTCGACACTATCCAAGTGCATGATGTACATAGGAATCTCTGTTTTTTATATTTGGTGAAAATTTGATTCCATATTCCTCTTCAAATACCTCTTTAATGGTCTTGTCTATTCTTTCCTTACCGGTACCCATAACTTTTGTAAATAAAGATCTTTTAGTAGCTGGCTTGCTACTTGTGAAAGACTTCCCACAGTTGCAACATTCATCCATTTTGGAAAAAGTCTAAGTTTAGTTTCGATTTCAAAGACCAGAGACACGTGATTCCTGTCATTGACATCTCAGCGAGTTCCGATATTCTTTGATAGTAGTAGTAGCGTAGCACTACCTTATATGGAAAGCGGTGGGCGGGGTTAACGCGCCGCGATATTTAGCGAGATTTCATCTCTTCGATGTCATGGCGGCTTGCATATTATAAGAAACATCGCTTTGAAAATGTAGAACGCATTACCACAAAGAAAAACTATTCGGTAACTATTTTAGTAGTCCCGTCTTCATTATTTGTGATAGAATTACTTATATCAATACAAACTGTCTTAGAGTGTATCGATTGTTTAAAGCTACATATTGTAGCTAACCGACACCATGTTGTTACAATCTCCAGATCGAATAGGAATTTGATTTCAGTACACAGCGGTATGTCAGACAAATGTTCAATATGCTCTAATATAAAAGAGTTTACTCCCACTCACGCCGTTGCTAAAATAGTATAAAATATTAGATTTCAGTACACAGCGGCATGTCAGACAAACGTTCAATGTACACTATGATTATAAAGACTATGAGTTTCTACTCAAGTTATTGGTAATTAGATATAAAATATTGATAAGTTAAGGTATTGATGTAATAAAACTATACACAAAATTTTATCACTCTCACTAATTAGATCTAAAGTTATCGTGTCCCAAAGCATCAACCAATCAAATTGCTTAAGTCTGCTTACCCTAAGCAGAAAATGTCCATCTTCGAACTCCATCAAGGCATTCACCTAATGAACACCTACACCACGTTTGAATGTTCTAGCTCAATTAGAAGGAGAGTTATTGTGTTCCAAATTCTCGGCCAATCAAATTGTTTATCGCTCTGCTTACCTTAAAGGGGAAGACCAACGATTTTCAATAAGGTTTCCATAAATAATAAATATATATTTAGAAATAATCCCTCCTATAACATATGCAAAAAATAATTTGTAAGCGAGAAATTAATTTTTATTAATACCGGAAGTGACGTAGGTGGTTCGACACGCTCACTGGTCACTATAGTAAACATACAAATTTGGAGTAAGTTTAGCGCTGTATTTTGTGATCGTTTCGCCGTTTGGCAGAAAATCTGATGAAAGGTAATCTTTATTAGGATATTAAGAACAAGAACTTACGGTGTTTTGAAGGTATAATATACAACGCGTTTGTGTAAATTAAGTTTCTAAACTGGACACTGTGACACAATTTAAGCCACATGGCTAATTGGTTACATCACGTGATAGCTGGCACGTGACAGATATTAACCGAACACAAATTGGCGACCTATTCGGCTAGCAACCTATTCGACCGATCCAGCTGGCAACCTGTTCGTTGGCAACCTATTCAGAATAAATTCAACAGTCGCCCAAACTCATCTATTTTTATCAACCAATAAAAATCCAACGTAACGTCTATCAAATGAAAGTAGAATATATTATCATTTATCCATTCCTTTAGCTCAGAATAGAGATGTAATTTCGCATTATCTTACAAAATTCTGGACATCCAACTAAATATATTCCGAAAGCTGATTAAATAAGCTTTCGAAGTATTATTAGTAAAAGTTGGCACAATCATATTAAAGGGGTGAGCTCTCATTCTGAATAGGTATTGAATAGGTATTCTAGGTATTGTGTCCCAAAAAGTGTGACGGACAGACGGACGAACCCATTTTAATAGTCCCCTGCTTTCTTCGAAAGGCGGGGGACAAAAAAACACAAAGTTTCAATTTCCTAACTTGTTAACTCAACGCAATGAGATAACAGTAATGTCATAGTACATATTTTAGTTTGTGAGAAAGAGAAATGGGGTTTAACATCCACTCGACACAAACTGGGTCATTTCGGGACTAACATATGGTTTAATTTTATTTCAATAATTCGCCTGCGCGTAGGGGTC